TAAGTGAAATTTCCCAAGAATGGAAAAACAAGCACCACATATACTCACCAGCAAATTGGTATTAACTGAACAGCACCTAAGTGGTCACATAGGTACTGCAGTAATAGGGTATTGGGCAGGTGGGAGGGGGGAGGGGGGCGGGTATATACATACATAATGAGTGAGATGTGCACCATCTGTGAGATGGTCATGCTGGAGACTCAGACTTGTGGGGGGAGGGAGGGAAAGGGCATTTATTGAAACCTTAAAATCTGTACCCCCATAATATGCCAAAAAAAAAAAAAGAACAGTAGGAAGAAGAAAAAAATCCCAAATTTTACCAATGGCATAGTCATCTGATTGCATATAATTCCAATTTTATTTCTATGCCTTTAAAAATGGCTCTGATCCTAAAGTTCATATTTTATATACTGCCTTTTTCAATGACATAAAACATTACATTAAAATTTACTAAAACTGGGTGTCTACATGAATGAAAATTAATTTTGACCCACAACTCACGCCATTCACATAAATTAATTCAAGAGGGATCAGAGCCCTAATATAAAAGCGAAAACTATGAAGCTAATCTATAAAAGCTAAAACTATAAAGAAGAAACCATAGTAAAATATCTTGGTAATCTAAGCAAAGATTTCTTAGAGCAAAAACAGCACTAACTCTGAAAGAAAAAATGATAGACTCACCAAAATTAAATTCTTTTGCTCATCAGGAGATTCTCTTAAGAAAATTTAAAAAGAAGCAAAATTTTAAAAGATTGAGAAAAATAGTCACAATGTATATATATGACAAAGGATTTATATCCAGAATGTATAAAGAATCACTATAAAATTCAATACTATAATAAAAAGCCAAACAATCCAGTTTTATCACCTAAATTCACATTAAGCAGGTGATCACAGGTAGCTCTCAGAAGACAGCTAGATGGATTAGTTTGGTATGAAGCAGAATTATCCTTGACAGAGGGTTAGCTACAATCAGGGAAAGGAAACAAGGAGTGAGGGAGGCTCTATGACTGCCCCAAGACATAGCAAGCAACTAGAAAATCCAATTTAATATAATCAGGAGGTAGATATACTTTGGCTAAGGGGTCTATATTGGTCAGCTTTTGCTGCATAATGAACAAACACAAAATTTCAGTGACATACGACATGTATCTATTTCTCACATGTCTGAGGTTAGATGGTACTTCAGGCTATGGTAGCTGGGACAGCTCTACTTTGTGCTTCTTTGGATCAGCTGGGGTGATGCTGTGCTGTGCTCCTGGTGTTTTATTTTAGTGCCCAGGAGGGAGCAGCTACCCTGGAAGCATTCTTCTCACAGTGATGTAAGAGGCACAAGAGAGTAAACTTCACTCTGCAAACATATTTCAAGCCCTTCTTTGACCAAAAAAAGTCACATTGGTTGAGCCCAAAGTCACTGGGAGAATCGTCCACCTTCAGAGCAGTTCTCAACTAGTGGAGATTCTGCCCCCCAGTGGAGGATATTGGCAATGTCTGGAGGCATTTTTGGTTGTCACAACTGTGGGTGATTAGAAATGACACTGATATCTACTAGGTAGAAGCCAGGGATGCCCCTAAACATCCTACAATGCACAGGACAGCTCCTTACAGCAAGGAATTATCCAGCACACCCAGTTATCAGTAGTTCTGAGGTTGACGAACCCTACTTTCAAGGAAGAAACTGCAAAGTTAGGTAGCAAAGGGCATGGATACAAGGAAAGATGAAAAATTGGGACCATTAATTCATTATACCACAGATAATAAAGGTGGATTCCCCTATTAGAATTCTGCATTGAAAGTCTTTTAAGGAATTATTATCTAAAGACTATGAAAATATAGAACTTCTGATCTAAGCTTATCAGAAGTAAAACTAAAAATATATTAACCTGGCCCTCTCAAATCCCTTCAAATTTCTGAGTTCCTGATATTTTTCTCCGTGGCTGGGCTCCCACATAGCATTCACAAAGAGTATGAGTGTGGCTCCTGGATGTATCTAAGTGCTACAGTTCTTTGTGCTTCTATAATCACAGCAGCAAAAGCATATATCATTGGAGAGTGTTCACATTATCACTTCTAAAGCAGTTCTGAAAAAGAGAAAACTTCAGAAAATATTCCCAGCAGGTCAGTCCCCACATATTGCCCACTCTTGCGGACAGTGATGAGTCTCCCTGCAGGTTGGGTGTCTGGCTAGAAGTGATTGCCACTATTGTGAAGTTTAGAAAGAGTTCAGGGAAATATCCATGTAGGGGAGGGGTGGGCAAGTCTTTGATATCTGGTTGTAACCATAAATGATATTTCTAGTGGTCAAGATTTTAGGCTGTCACTCTAGCCTGGACAACAAAGCGAGACTCTGTCTCAAAAAAAAAAGATTTTAGGCCGGGCGCGGTGGCTCACGCCTATAATCCTAGTACTCTGGGAGGCCGAGACAGGCAGATTGCTTGAGGTCAAGAGTTCGAAACCAGCCTGAGCAAGAGCGAGACCCTGTCTCTACTATAAATAGAAAGAAATTAATTGGCTAACTAACATACATAAAAAAATTAACCAGGCATGGTGGCGTATGCCTATAGTCCCAGCTACTCAGGAGGCTAAGGCAGGATTGCTTGAGCCCAGGAGTTTGAGGTTGCTGTGAGCTAGGTTGATGCCACGGCACTCACTCTAGCCTGGGCAGCAAAGCAAGACTCTGTCTAAGATTGTATATGCTAGATCCATTGCTGAAGTGTTGATGTTGTAATGTGCCTTGTCTTTGTTCTCTGAGCAGTTTGCCTTAAAAACAAAATTGATCAGAAACAAAAAGGAATAGAGAACAAAGCTATCTCATACTATTACAAAGCTTTGTTTTGAAGCTGACACATATTCTGTCAGTACCCTAAAATAACACCTTCATCATGATGTGGGCCATTAAATTATGACATTCAGTTAATACTCTTTATTTCCCTATGGAAATGAGAAAGGGAACATAAGACATGTTGCAAATTTAAGGCTAGAGATTTAGAGTAGAAGTCAGAATATTTTATATATATGTATTTTTTTTTGTCCATCTAATTCCTTCCTTCCTTCCTTCCTTCCTTCCTTCCTTCCTTCCTTCCTTCCTTCCTTCCTTCCTTCCTTCCTTCCTTCCTTCCTCTCTCTCTTTCTCTCTTTCTTTCTTTCTTTCCTTCTTGATGGGGTCTCACTCTTGCTCAGGCTGGTCTCAAACTCCTGAGCTCAAACGATCCTTCTGCCTCAGCCTCCCGAGTAGCTGGAACTAAAGGTATATGCCACCATGCCCGGCTAATTTTTTCTGTATTTTTAATTATCCAGCTAATTTCTTTCTATTTTTTTCAGTAGAGACAGGGTCTCGCTCTTGCTCAGGCTCGTCTCAAACTCCTGAGCTCAAACGATCCACCTGCCTTGGCCTCCCAGAGTGCTAGGATTACAGGCTTGAGCCACCATGCCCGACCTGAAGTCAGGATATTAACAAGTGAAAATTCCAAAGTACATTAATACATGTAAGGTGGTAGTTGGCTGATGTGTGCCTTTGCTGACTACATTTGCCTTTCAGGGGTATATTGTTAGCTGTCAACAAAAGAATCCTCTCTAGCTAGCTTAAGCAAAAAAGAAAAAGGTAGGGTGGGGGGGATTTGTTAAAGGATAACTGGTAGCTCACAGACTCTCTTGGAGGATCAGAGGCCAGACTTTGAGGCCATATAGCCAGAGACAGTACCCAGATACACTATTCGTGGAGCATGGGGTGGGGGTGGGGTGTTCTGGGTTTGTCACTGCCATTGCCATTTAGCACCTATGATGCTTGGGAGAGAGTACCAGAAGTCCTGTCTCTGCCTGTGCCAGATCAGTCCTGCTGTCTGTGGCTATCTCAACATCTCTTCACCCTGCCTTTGGAGAAATCTGAGTCTCATGTGGATGCATATGACTAGTAGAACAGAGGTCACATATTTGCACCCTAGCTTTAAGGGAATGTATGTAAGTTTTCTGGTTTCTACATTGAAAAGTTGATATGCATAATGTAAAAAATTACTAAAATGAGAGAGAATATTTGGTGTTGTTGTGTGGCCACTAATGAGGAATATCCACTACAGGAAGAAAGAATATCAAGCTAAAGAAAAAAATAGTAACCAGTGCTCCATATCAGGAACTAGCAGATATAGATAAATCACCCAGCTGCACTGTAGGGTGTTGCAGATCTGGAAGATGAGATGGTGCAGGATTCCCGGAGCTCTCACTAGCCCTCCTGACTCTCTGCTCCTTGTCAAGACAGCTGGCCACTTCTCAGGGTTTGTGGATGTGGCAAGGGCTCACAATTGCAGCCTGGCCTTGAAGAAGTTGATAGTTTTTATGAAATTATTTCTTCTGTTCCTGTAAAATGATTGCCCCATAGTTTGAGATTTATGTTTTTGGCTAAAGGCTTTGGTCTCATGATGCTTATTTCCCTTCCCTGGAGGCAGCCCACACAGAATGACTGGTCAACATGTGGACATAAGGGCTGGGCTGACTCTCCCCTACTCAGGACAATGCTCAATGGGCATGCGAGCATCAGAACTCTTTGTGTGGTCAGCTGGGGACTTTGCTGTGAGTATACCACAGCTCCTCTTCACCCCCTGCCCAATTCTGCCTCCTTCCCTTCCACAATTATGGATTCCAAGGGCATCCCCTAATATATTTCCTCATGCCAATGTCCATTTCAGTTTGCTTCCTGGGTAATACATACTACTTATCATAAGTGGTATGTATTAGTTAGGATTAGGTTCAGCTGTTATCAACAACCAACACAATAATAGTTTAAAAAGCATAGAAACTTACTCCTCCCAAGTCAAAATCCATTATCAGAAATCCAGAGGTAATATGGTGCATCATGGTTGGTGCAGAGACAAGGTTCTTTCTGTCTTCTTCCTCTCTGTATAGATTTGACCTCATGATCCAGGATGGGCCACATTAGTATCCAAAATTCTGAATAACACGATCGAGGAAGGGAAACAAGAAACAAGAACAGACAAAGAGCACATTTGTGCTATTTCTTAAAGATTGTCCTATGAGTTGAGGGGCCCAATGGGAAAACTCACATTCCTGTTAAAACTTCAGGCATTTAATACATCTGCTTTAGTTAGGCATTTAATACATTGTTTTAGTTTTCTTGGCTCTGTGATGCTTAGGTCATACTTGGACCCACATTGATCTCCTCTTTGAACTCATGCTTATAAGGACACTCCCCTCAGTGCCTACATATTTTTACCTAAGTCAAATTCCTGTTTTCTACACTTGCTTGCCATTTGCTTTGGTCTCATCATGTCCACACTTCAACTCACCATCAACACACTTCAGAAACAATATGTGACCTACAGCAATACTAGCGATCCTCCTGTTGTTGGGAGAATCAACAGAGGATCTGTTGTTCTGTTGCAGAATCATCGATTAAAAAAAATTTTTTTAACCAAATTGCTGATTCATAAATTTCTTGCATAAAATCACCCAGCTTCCAAAACATTTATTTTGGCCATTTTAAGTTATTTGAAACAATGAGTTTAAATTTTTAGAATTTATATCTTTTTATGTTATTTGTACAAAAGTGGTTTCAAAGCAGGAATTGCTCTCACTGATTGAGAACATATCTTTTTTTTTTTTTTTAGATAGAGTCTCACTCTTCCGGGGCTAGAGTGCCATGGCATCAACCTGGCTCATCAAACTCCTGGGCTCAAGCAATCTTTCTGCCTCAGACTCCTGTGTAGCTGGAACTACAGGCATGCACCACCATGCTTGGCTCATTTTTTCTATATATTTTTAGTTGGCCAATTAATTTCTTTCTATTTATAGTAGAGACATAGTCTCACTCTTGCTCAGGCTGGTTTCAAACTCCTGACCTCAAGCAATCGCCTGCCTCGGCCTCCCAGAGTGCTAGGATTACAGGTGTAAGCTACCACGCCCAGCCTGAGAACATATCTTAATTCCCTAATCTTTTCACCCAGAAGTTGACAGAGATGATATTAAAAAGCTATATCAACTAGAAGCAAAGGCACTGACCAGTCAGAATGGATGCCAACCATCGGTGACCTGTGGGGTGTACCAGTATAGATTGGTGGCACCTTGGTCCTGGCAATGACTATGTGATGAAAATATCGGGGTTCTATAGATGTATGAGGCAGTACCATGTGATGGTCAAACACACAAGATTTAATCACAATCCTACCCTTTACTAACTATGGGGCCTCAAGAAGCTATGCCTGAGCCTCAGTTTCCTTGTCTGTAAAATAAGGGTTATAAAGTCTTACCTTCAGAGCATTTATTGTGAGCATTGGAGAAAATAATTCATGTGACGGATCTGGCATAATGCCTAACACATTGCAAAAAGTCCAGGCGACCTTTATTATCTTATTTAGCACAGACGTTGTTATCTTGGGATCTTTGACAAAATTTTTGTAAACATTATTGAGTAGAATGTCCAATGTTACTTGTCATAAATTCCTCTTTGAGTTCAGTTCTCGATCACCTGATAAACAAAGATAGGTTTTAAGTGATCTGTGTGTCCAGTAAGTTAAATTTAATGTTTGATTATTAACACTATGCTAACCTCCTATTGGATATAATTGTTGACTCTTTCCCTGAGGTATTTAAGTTTTTATTTTGATAGTATAGTAGTTTAAAACACAGGCTCTGAAAGCTAAGTAGGGTTGTAGCCCAGCTCTTCTAGTTCCTACCTACGAAAATAGGCCAGTTGTTCCATCCTTCTGAACTTCATTTCCCTTATCTGTCCAATGGATATAATCCAAAGCACCTACCTTGTAGATTCAATGATATATTCTAGAACATTTAAAACAGTACCTAGCAGAAAGAGGAATCATTCAGTAAAAATATTAGCTATTTATATTTTATTGTTAACTATCTCAATTTCTTTTGTGAAGTAGAGGCAGTATTAATCATAAACTACAAATAGACCACTAAAGGAGATTTTCATTAATTTTTTTATTACACATAATTCTTATTTTTTAAAGGTTTTTAGCTTCTATAAATAAAATGTATTTATTTATAGTTATATAAATATGGATTCAAAAGTATTCACATTATACTCAGATGTGTAGAGAACATGAACAATACTTTCTTTTTTGGGATATAGTTAATCTTGTTCCCTTTGCCCCCACTTGTCAGGTAGTAGGAGGGGGGAAATAACTAAATGTTAGGCCACTCCAATAAACTTAATCTACTGGAATAATTTAAATAGCCCCTGTAGGTAAATGCTAAATCTCTTATTAGTCTAATCTCTCAAATTTTCCCCATATTGCTCTGAATGCTCTTTTTTTTTCATCTTCTGGGCTCATAGAGCAAGGGCAGTAGCTGGATATTCTGTGACAGCAGAGGTGAGATAAAGTCCTCAAATCATTGTGATGGCGTCTAGACCACTGCTTGTTCAACTGATGCTGAAGATTCCTCTGAGAGCCTGCCTGTCTCCTACCCAGCCCAGAGCTGAGATGCCCACCTAAGCTGTGCCATTTTTACCACAGCAGACCCCATGGCAGGCCCACCTTCCTCATGCTATTTCAGAAACATGCAAGAACGTTCCACCTTTGCCATCTAGAAATCAAGGGCAACTCATGAAAACTTAACTCAGACCCGTACTCTGTGCAATCAGACTGTGCCACAGAGATCTTTGCTGTGGCTGCTCCCAGGTTGGTATAGAAGCTCCCTCTGAAGCCCCATTTGTGGAATGAGGGAAAGCTCTACATATCCATGTAGATATCCCCATTCTGGCCAAAGCTCAGAGGAGGGAGACCAGGCCACTTGAACTTTACCCCTTCTCTCTCCTCAATCTGTCTCCCTTCTCCGCCACAATCCCCCAGGGCCATAAGAGGAAACATTTAGGGTTTCCACTTCCTCTAAGTCATATTCTCCTTCTTCTGGCCTCCAACCTCATGGCTGAACCTTAATGATAGGGTGTGAGAGAAAAAATAATCAGCTTACCAAGGAGATGACCTAAATGACTGCATTACTAATGGGGTTATAGGTATCTTGGTTTAAATAAAAATGCGTTGCATTACCATTAATAAATTGTTTATTTTATTTGAGAAGATAGAGTACTACTCTTGTATTGACAGAGAGTAAGTTGTAATTCCTATTTGTGCTTGTAAAACTAAAATTAGAAATGTCCTTCTTAGTTATCCTGCAAAAAGTAGAAAATGGGTGTTTTCCAAATGCTAGTAAAGATGAATTTAAAGATATTATTTTCTCTTGTGTTTAGGACAGAAATGGAGGCATTCATGGAAAAAAAAAGCATTTCTATTTAACCTTTTCTAAAACATTAAATCCCATAGACATACATTTATAACAACCTGGGAAATTTCTCTTTTGTCAGTGGACATAAAATAGATTTCTTGAAACAAATATCTTCAAGTGGATCATAGTTAATTAGTTAATAAATTAGTTAATAAACTAGTTAAGTCTTCTTTTTGTAAAGCCATAAGAATTTACAAAGATAATAGGAAACATCATCAGACCTGACTGATAATTCAGAGCTGAATTCAGGGCTGAATTCAAAAATTCAGCCTTTTGATATTATGTGATTTGATATATATGTTAATTTTCTTTTTAAATGAAAAATTCCAAATGTATATAAAGACATAGAAATTGTATAAGGAACTCCCATTTATCTATCACCCCACTTTAACAATTATCACATAGTCATCTTATTTCATCTATACCACCACACACTTCCCTACTACCACCTTCTCCCTCAGATTCTTTTGAAGTAAATTGTTTCATCTATATGTTGCTTTTGCCAGTATAACCAGCTCTGTATTATGTTCATTCCTTGGGATCTTTGTGCAATTTCCATCATCTGATTATCAGTTCCTATTCAACAGTTTGTGTCTTCTGCTTTTTTTTTTTTTTAGCATATTATGGGGTTACAAGTGTTAAGGTTACATATATTGCCCATGCCCCTCACCCTGTGTCTTCTACTTTTGAACGTGCCATGAGCATCTCCTCACGATTGCACCTGACAGGAATTCAGTGCATTTGAAGTATGATGTGTACATACAAAACACCAGAATGGAGCTAATGAGAAAAATAGAACGCTGACAACATGAGCAAGAGAAGTGACACCACAGTGAGCCACCTGTGTGTTGAAGAAAATCCACGATGTTGTGTTGAATAAATGCTTAGGGAATTGTTTGGGTCCTCAAAACTTTACATTTTTGTGTTATATACGACCTTAAAGAGTAAAACCATTACCAATCACATTTCATACACTAGACCATGATATCTTAGTTAATGGATCTGCATTTTATCAGCTAGGCATTTCTGTCACTCAAGGCTATTGTAAACTTTCCGTGGCCACATCACCACTTTGTTCCCCAAGCTTCTCTGTGGTAGCTTGTATTCTTGTTCAACCAACTGGCCATACTGTTCCTTACTTTTAGAGCAATAGCACCGCCCTGTGGCAGGACTTAAAATGTTTCCTCACACTGCCGCATACAATTTCCATTTTACAGCGTTAACATGCCAACGGGTGAAGTTTTGGACCACTTCTCAGATTGATGTTTTTAAACATATAACATACAAAAAACGGAGTTACAAAGGAAGCCAATTTATGTGGAAATATTGTTGTAGCCAGGTGTCTATGGACTCCAGTTAGGAAGCCGCAATGAGACTGGGAACAGGAAATCACAGAGGCGACTCCTCTCCGTTATCTTGTAGTTATTAGGACCGTCATTCTAGTTGAGTTTGCAGATGAACCTTCAGGAATTGCACAGTGGTTTTTGGCTTCATCTCTGTGAATATCTATATGCTTTATGAGAAGGGAGAGGTTATTGGAGACAGAATGGGACTTTCAAACAATAAGAACAGTCTACGCAGTGACCAAAAATGCAGTGGTTTGTTATCTATCTAGGTCCTTTAAATACTTAAAATTTGGATACTGTTGCCAAGAAGAAAGGATAGATCCCACAGTGTACGCCTGAAAGGGTAGCCCCGGCGTAAGGGCTTACTACCCTGCACGCTTTCACTAGGCCTGCAAAGGGAGGCGACGGAACGTGCGTGTCCAGGCCTGCTGGGTAAATTCGGCTCCAGACGTCTGAGAACCGAGCTTCCCCGGAGGGCTGTGCAGTAGCTCTGCGCGCCACGAGAGGGCGCTGCGAGGCCGCTGTCGCCGTCAGGCGAGCGGAGCCGTTGCACTGCAGCCGCCTGGAGCCAGGACTGAAGGCAGAGGCGGGGGATGCGGGAAGGAAGACGGTTAACATCGCGTAGATCTTAGGTTATAAAACTAACTAGCAATACGAAAGGGTCACCAGGTACCTCAGGCTCTCCCGTCTCCCGAGCACGCGGTGGGGTTACATTCCCCGGCTCCCTCGTGGTGGGTGGGGCCCCACGACGGGCCCTGGCCAGTGAGCTGTGCGCAGGAGCCGCCCGCGCCGCTTCTGCGCCGAGCACGTCGTGGCCGAGCGGGGCCTCAGAGCCCGCTGCCTCTCGGACGCGGGCTCCGCGGTAGCCCAGAGGGCAGCCTGCGGCCCTGCGTGACGGCGGCGAGCCGGGTCCCGCCGCTGGCCCACCGCGCACGCGTGGCCTGATTGAGAAGTACAGCGCCTCTTAACCCACAGCTGCGCGGTGATTATTTCTTGCTGTAGCGTTGCTTAACCAAGCTTGACTGTCACGGCCAGGCACTCAGACAAGTGCTTCGCGTATTTTCACGTTCAGTCCTCTCGATGGATTTTTGCCTTCTTTTCATTTTTCCAGATGAGGAGATTGAGACTTAAGAGAGGCTGAGGACTTGGCCAAGGTCAGGCGGCAGGGTAAGTCCTTTTGCTCTGTATCATGCCCCTTAATCGCTATGTTGCACTACCTACCAGTTAGGATCTGTATTACATGTTCCCAAGAAAGGAAGGAGAAATGCATGGAACCAGGAAGGCAAGAGGGAAGACTGCTGAAGCCCAGCCTCTAGCCTGTGGATCCTGAGTCACCCTCAACATTTAGCAGGTAAGAGTTCTGCTAATCTCTCCTATTTTGAACTGCATTTCTCTTCTTTTCTCACAAACCCACCCCTAGTTTTTTCAAGTCTTCTACCTGGATCCCTTGTCTCCAGTCCCAGCCATCTCACTCCTTTCACTGCCTCCCAGATCACCTTTTAAGTTAATGGTTCTTAGCTCCCCATCACGACCACCTGGGAAGTTTTCAAACATGCATGCATAGTTCATGCATGGCCCACGCAAGCATATTTTTTCATATTTGCCTACAATCAAGGACCATAATATGGAAGACTATGATTTTCATGTTTCTGTACTATGAGGCCCCAGTTAACATTTTCTCATTTATCATCCACACAACTCTCCCCTATGTGTCAGTGGCTCTAGAGAGATTATTATCCCTTGAATAAAACATCAATAATATTTTTCTGCCCCCATGCCTCTGATCCAGTTGTTACTTTAACCTCAAATGTCTTCCTCCTCCCCATAGGTAAAAATCTACCATCTTTCAAGTGCTACCTTCTTCATTTACTCTCCCGTTGCTGCCCCCAAGTCAGAAAAAAGACTTGATTCCTTGGACTCTTCTAGTATTTGGCTTATGTCTCTACCATACTTTTTTATTTTTAGTTTTTAGAGTCAGGGTCTCACTATGTTGCCCAGGCTGGCCTTGAACTCCTGGGTGCATGCTGTCTTCCCACCTCAGCCTCCCAAGTAGCTAGGCCAACAGGCGTGTACTCCCACACCTGGCTTTTCTATCGTACTTTTGATTATTCTATCTTTATTATAAATACATTTATTTTTACATGTCTGTCTCCCCCACTAACCTGTCAACTCCTAAAGAGAGGAGTCCAGTGATTTTTTTTTAAATTTTTGCCCAGTGTTATTTATTTGTTTTTCAAAGGAGGATTGGATTTATTTTTAATGAAAAAGGCTGAATTGGAGGCTTGCATTTTTTCCTATACTCCTCAGCTGGCCTTATTTCAGGTATAAGAGTACAAAGATTCCAAGTAATCTGCTCTCATGATGTAAAAGTAAGACCAATGTCAATAAATCAGTTTAAATTCATTGAGAGCCAGGAGAGGTCACATAGCTGAGGCATGGAGTCTGAGCTTGTTTTCAGACTCCAGAAATGCCCGGTGCTATTTTATCTTGTTATCCCACAAAGCACCTCTCCCAATGCTTGCTATCTAGCAAGTGGTCAATATACTTTAAAACACAATTTAATTTGATGAATGAAATATTTATTCACTCATTCCACAAACATGTATTGAGTACTTACAATGACCCAGGCATCAGAGATACAAACAGACAAAAATCTCTACCTTCATGAAGCCTACATTCTAGTGGGAAGACAAACAAAAAACAGGATAAATAAATTATATATGTAGTATGTTAGAAGTGCTAAAGAGAAACAGAAAGCAGAGATGGTAGATGAGTATCAATTTAAGTGATTTGTATGTACATTAAAGTTTGAGAAGCTGTGCTCTAAATTGAGCAACACTCCTTACAGGGATTCTCTACAGAATAATGAATGGAGGGATATGTCAGACCCCAAACCAGCCCTTTTGGGAAGCAGAGAGAGCCCTGGTCAGTGTCTTGGAGATTCAGAGCCAAATGCTTACATTACACAGGTACAAACTCAGAAGGGAACCATTGTACTTCCTAAGAATTTTTCCTCATATTTTTTAGACAAGTGTGTGTGTGTGTGTGTGTGTGTGTGTGTGTGTGTATGTGTGTCTGTGCTTATATGTATTGATGTGTGATTAAAGGAAGGGAACTAACCTTGTTTTGTTTTTTTTTTAGCACCTTGCTGTGGTTAGGATATAGTTTGTCCTATCCAAAACTCATGTTGAAATTTGGTCCCTAATGTAATAGTGTTAAGAGGTGGTGGGACTCTTATGAGGTGTCAGAGTCAAGGAGGCTTCAATTAATGCTGTTCTCACAAGAGTGAGTGAGTTCTTGTAGGAGACGGTTAGTTATCACAAGAGTGAGTTACTATGAAAATGAGTTTGGCTTCCTCAGCTCTGGCTTGCTTCCTCTCTCACCATGTGAGCCCTTGTTTTGAGGCCATGTTATTAAGCAGCACAAGGCCCTTGCCAGATGTGACCACCTGATCTTGGACTTCCCAGCCTCCAGAACCATGAGCCAAAATAAACCTCTTTTCTTTGTAAATTACCCAGTCTTAGGTATTCTGATACAGCAATGGAAAATGAACTAAGACATGCCTATTAAGTTAGGCATTGTGCCACTATACAGGAATAAACCTCAGACCACAAATAAGGACATATCAGAAAGATTACATTTGCAGTGAATCAAATTAAATTAGTTTCTACTCCAAAAATATATGTATTAATTTTTAATCAGGAGAAAAATAAATTTTTAAAAGTCTCTGTGCCCCATATTGTTTAGTCCAGGGGAACTTGCAGCCTTAAGGCCACATGTGGCCTTTTATGTCCTTAAGTGTGGCCTTGTGACTGAATCCAAATTTTACAGAACAAACCTTTTTATTTTTATTGATACATTTTTGCTTGTCTTTTATATTTTTATTTTATTTTTAAAATGAACATATCTAAAATACCAAAGAATAAAATGAGTTTCAATGAAATAATCCTCCCAGGTTGACCAGCGCAATTATAATATTAGTAAGCCTTAAGGGCTGAATTGATGGCTACTATGCTCATGATTTAGTTCTAACTTCTCCCACCTGACTGGCACCACTACTGCACTAGACTGGTTGGTGAGAGTTTATGGGGGTGGAGTATGCCAGTCTGTTATCAGCTTTTGACAGTGGACTGTGTTTCTGTTTGAAGTGGAATTTGTGGATAGTTGCACAGCTCGACAGTATTTTTTAATTCTGTCTGCTTAATAGCCCATCATGTCAAAGAAGACCAAGAGAATGCTTAAGGAAGAAAACTGAAAACATCTTAAGGAAGGTGTTTTAATGAGGATTGGGAATTGAAATATTATCTTGTTACTATTAAAGATAAAATGATTTGCTTGTGATACTGGAATATCAACATTAAAGAAATTCAACGATCATCAGCATTAAAACACTCATAAGAACCACAAATATTTTAAATTAGAGGGAGAGGCACAAAAGGTTGTATTGCAGAAATTAAAAGATTAAAATCAAAAGCAAAGACAATTCTTTCAAGCGGCAATAAGACCTAGAAATAATGCCACTGAAGCAACTTATAAAGTAGTTTATATACTCAGGGGGAAAGGGAAGCCATTCAGTGATGTAGAAATTATGAAATAATGCATTGTTGAAGTTGTAGGAGTTGTAGGGTTGCTTAGACCCCAATAACATTTCAAAGTACAAATAACTGCCTCTTTCAAGAAGAACCATAACTGATCAGCAGCATGAATTAGCCTTCAACTTAACAGAGCAACTTCATGCAATACTTCAAAAGGAAAATATATATTATTCAATCACTTTGGATGAATCAACTGATACTACTGACTCAGCGCAGGTTTTATACTTCATTTAGGTCATGACAGAAGATTTTCTTTGTTACAAAGAGTTACTTTGGGCACTCTTGAGAACAGAACATGGGGAATAGATATCTTCGACAACTTTCAAGATAAATGTCGTGAAGTTGGACTGAATTTGGTAAATTTAGTGAGTGTACATATAGATAGTGCACCTTCCATGACAGGAAGATGTGAAGGGTCTATTGCACAGATTTAAAAAGAGTATTAACTGATCCAGATGGTCTCATTTCTTTTCATTGTATCTTGCATCAGCAAAATCTCTGAGGAGCAGGACTCAAGGTGGGGAAGATACGGAACCAGGAACCATTGCTTTTCATCACACTCTCTGCTGTACTATTTGAGTTTTAACATGTTCAGTATTACTTTAATTTTAAAAACTTAAAAGTATTATAAAAGAATGGCTATAATGCAGGGGTTCTAAGAATCACCTAGGGTGCTTGTTGAAAAATTATATTCACAAAATTTGTTCAGTAGCTCAGGGTGGAAGACAGGAATTTGAATTTTAACAAATGTCCTAGGTGATCCTGTTTCAGGTGGTCAGGGGACCACACTTTGAACTGTAATGTTCTAAAGTTTCTTTATTACCTACAATGGTTTGATTTTCAATACAAGCTTCTTAAAAACTCAGTTTTAAAGAAACCCTTTAAAATAAATTTTGAAATTCATTCTAAGATTCTTCATTTATAAAAACACCCTTTATACTTAATTTTCATTGACTTTATATTTTAAATCTTATTAAATGCTTTTTGGCATCTATTGTTATACTGGTATGATTCTTACTAGTTTTCCTGATAATGTAATAAATTACATTATTACCTTTGTATAATACCAACCTTAGATTATAGATAACAAACCTGATTAGCAAACATATTAACATAAATTACCATACTGTGATAATATTTCTATATTCTAAAATCTTTTTTGT